ATTTGGCTTTATTATTTTAAGAAAAGGGTGAAAGGTGTTGGGGATCAAGAACCGTTGAAATGCAAAATGGCAATTTCATATGTCAACCAGCTTTTTGACCAAAAGCCTAATTTGCAAGTGGTAACTTAAAAAAGTAGTAAGCTAGAGAACTTTGTCTACTATTCTCAAATGATTTGCTTAGCCCCGACCTCCCCCACTCCCCACCCGCCCTTTCCCACACTGACATTGTCCTTTGCAGATAGATGGAATCTCGGAAATCGTAAACCCTATTAGCAAATTTGAGGGTTAAGACTGTGGATACAATGTGAACGAAATTTATGCGTATTTTTGACCATTAAGCATTTTTTTCTATTTTTCTAACACTAGTCTAACTACCGTAGTCTTGCCTGTATGATTTGGCTACAATAAAATAAAGAATTCTAAATGTTGAAGAACCAGTGAGGAATAGCAAGAGCATGCCCAGGCTTTCTTACAAAACTTTGCCTCTTCTCTAACCTTTTTTCTGCAGCCAATGGGACATTATCTAACATTTACATTCCAACATTACAGCAAAACATGTGATGATGCCACAAACTCTCTTGAACCAAGCTGATTGTTAGAAACGGATTAACTTCACACGTTTGAAACAATATATAGAATGTTCTAAAAATTTGTCACAAGTCTCTGGAGAAGTTGCAGGTATCTTTTTGTAGAGCTGGCTTAAATTCGGATTCATATTACAGAGCAATCACCGATTACTCACTTCTACTGTAGATTTGAAGAGGTTTTGAGCCATGAAGAGTTGCATTTTGTTGAGATAGAAAATCGAACATGCCAAATCTCTATGCCAGCCTAATCAAAGTGGCTAATAACGAAGGGAGACCAAATATTCTCTCCATAATGTACTCCTAAGTTAAAACTAGCTCCATAAAATGATAGCTAAAGCTTCTCCGAAGATTTCATGACAAAAGAGTTATTAATAATCAAACAGTAAGCAGTTTTTTGGGACAACTTATGTATGGTTTCCTTTAGACAATGATAAAAAATTAAAGGATGACAAACAATTCTGTAATTGAGAATAAATAACAAAAAGCATCCGTTTGGGCATGCCAAGAAGGAAATGGAGGAGAGATTTAAAAGATGCGGAAAATAAGCGAAAAAGGGAAGAATATAGCTGACAACTGTAAAAATGACGAGTCGAAGGGCATAAAAGAGCTAAGAAGTAAGAAGCCGACAGAGCTCTGGAAATTCTACACTTATGATTTCGTAGGCGTAGTGTCTCTTATTCGACTTGAATAAAAGAATAGAAGAGGAGAATTTCGAGTCTAGAAAAGAAAAGAAAAGAGAACTTGTGCTATTTACAAAGCAGTAGGGCCCTTCTGCTGAAGAAATTACATGGGAACAGGAACACATGTGGAGAGTGCACACGAGAAATCGGAGCTGTATCACACGTTGTAAGAAACGACCCGGATGAACTGCGCAAATTTGCGAATCCTTCGGAATTGCCGGACGAACGAACGGTCTGTGGTATTCAGTCGGAGCTGCGGGAGTCCAGCCGGACAATAGAAGGATTTCAGTGGTCAAAGTATTGTATAGCTTCGTATGGTAGAAACACTATTTTGTTCATATTGAACTTACTGTGTATAGATTATTGTTTATAGACTTTATTATTTGTTTATGTCCTTATTTTATCACTATCTACTATTCAGTATGGTCATTTCACTTGTATACATGTACTTTATTTTGTGAGACTAAACCAGACATCAAAACTCATAGAAGAAACATAAAATAAATAACAAAAAATTTATGAAGGAAATTGATATCCAATGAAAAGGCCGTTCAAAACTGGAATTCTCTTGATTACCTCGTTCCACAATATTTCCCATAAGTGAGTATAACAATAATTTGATTAATTCTTGTTAATGAATATTTGCAAACATTTCTGACCATACTTTAATGTAAGGGAAGGAAGCAAAACGAAACGAAGTGTTCTCTCCTTAACATTGTTTCTAAGGCCTGAAAAGGCTGAAAATAATTTTCTATGAAAGGAAAGTACTCTTAAGAAGCGTTGTCGATCAAATGGAACAAAGTTGAAGAACGAACAGAAAACATTTTGAGACTCTCATGTGGGAGAAACTTTAAAAAAGTTTATCTTTGGACATAGCAAGATTTTTTTCGATTACAGCCCCACAAAAATGTAGAGCACAACTTTTCCATGCTTCGAACGAAACCTTCATAATGACATGAACCAATTGCAAGAATGTCGTTTAGGTAATCTCTTTACCTAAAGAAGTGGAAAATCTAAAAAGATAGTAGTATTAACGAAAATAAAGAGAAATGAAATAATGGAAAAGGACAGAAAATAGCACAAATTTTCTTGGTTCAAATACTGACAAGAACAAATTTGGAAAGATCTAGTAAAACGCACATCAATCTATTTACCATTGGAAAAGAGTATTTTTTATGAAGCAAAAGTCAAAAATTTTGTAATTTCTCCTAGAGACCAGATCTGCGACAGCAATGAAGAAAAGAGAGATAAATAAATGTCTCAATACATACATGACAGTCTAATTACAAGCGCTTTCACAGAGGATTGATGATAAAAATTATTTAGCCAACCACTTATCACAATGTCATTTTTCTTGAATGTAAACAATGCATTAAATCGCTGTAACCATTCGAGCAAACTTACACAGAAGATTGGCGTTGAGACTTATTTTTAGCAAATAAAGTTCATTGAAAGCAAGCATAAACTTCACTTGAGGTTCAAGCAAGTAACAAAAGACCAGTCGATAGATAATACTAACTCTCAAGTCTGTTCAGCAGATTTATGGGAGCTACATGATAAGAAAAATGCACAGCAATAGTTGAAAAAAATTAAAAAGGCACAAATGATAGCAACTTTTTCTGTTCCTGTTCGTTTTTGCTGATGAAGGATTAACATATGCAACAAAAAGACGTTGTTGTACTGTAAGTAATGAAGGAAATACACTCCCTACCATACATGACTTCATCAATATGAGGGCCAAAACTTCAGTCTTCGTTACGTAGTTCTTATGAAACACACACAACCAGTTTGGAGTTTACTGCCTTGTTAGGTCTAATTTCCCAGAAAATTGTTAGAACTCACTTATGATTATAAATAAGACCCCAAAAAGAAGTTTTGCAATCTTGTTTTTATGAATAGAGGGACATACCAAATTGTGTACAGGAAGGAAGGAAATCTTAGCGATTTATAAACCCCTCGATGTAAATCAAATGAATATTCAGAGTCATGCTCATCGGTAAGTGAGCACTTGTAAATGTTCTCCCTAAATGTGAATTCTCGTTCGATATCTAATTAAAAATGCGAAGTTTCCAATTATTTTTAATTATCAGATTTCTAATTATCTAATGATTTTAGTGAAAAATAGTGACTGTGTTCAACTGTTTTGTATGTCGTATGTAACCTTTGATCAAAGGGCTTGGCTTCGGGAAGGCGGGGCTTTGTGACCTAATTAAGGCCGCTCGCACCCGCGACGCACCTGCGTCTCTCTCGCGAGAGTGCTCTCTGACCATTACCTAGCCTTAATTAGGTCATAAAGCCCCGCCTTCCCGAAGGTAAGCCAGTTGAATCTGGTATGTACATAGGTATCAGTGAAGGATCGAGAGTGGGGGCGCGGGCGGGTGCAAAATCTGAAAGCTACTTACATGAGTTATAAAATTGTACGCTGGATGTTTGTACTTGCAAATAATTGAAAAAATTTTTAAAATTTTTTGAAAGTTCAAATTGCCCTTGTAAAAAAATTTTTTTTCGAGGACGTGGCTAGTGGGGTTATGGACCCGGAACTATGGAAAGCATCTTTAAAATTTTTTTGCGCAAACGAAAATCCTGGGATCGCGTACTCGTATGTATGTGGTTTGCTCCAACGCACTTGTTTTTTCTCAACACTTAATTTTTTCGGCACCTACCCGTACTCTGATCACTCTTCAGTACTTCACAATGCAAGTGAGAGGGCACAAGAGGAATAGAAGCGAAACCTGATTTGCTGAATGCATAGAGGCAATGTTGCGAAATTTTATGAGATTGTTTTTCGATAGGGCATTCACCTTTGTGAGCTTGATTGAAGCAATTCTATAGGGACTATAAATACGTAGAAAAAAATGCAAAAAATATCTTTCCTGCAAAAACTGTACGAGAAAGTTCTTGAGAAAATTATCATCAAAAGATGGCGATAAATAACAAAATATTGAGTCCATATGCATAGCGAAATTTCACTTTCTGCGAAATGATAAGATATAATTTACTGAATCATCAATCAAGATGCTAATAATATGAAAATGCTCACGAATTCTTTGAAGCCATTTTCCTTATTTTAGAGCCTCGTACCCTGATACATACAGCAATTACTCCCGAAAAAGTTTAAGAAATTCAGTTTTTCGAGAAAATTAAGAATGCAAATATGAGAAAGAAAAAAAAACAGATTCATGGAGAAGTAACAATAAATTGTAAGAGAGTGATTTTTTGAGCTCAAGAAAAAATCTGGAACTTCCAGCAAATGGTTCTCAAAAGTCACCTATTTTTGATAAGCACACAAAACCAGCGACCTCTCTTCATTTGAAATACTAAGAGTATTGGGATCAATTTGCACAAAAATTCGCAAAGGGCATAGTTTTTTGTGGATCTTTCCAGAAACAAACGCTTTCTAGCAAAATGGGATTGACGCCAGTACATCGAATAACGAAAATTTGCTTCATTACGTTAATGCAGTACGATGGTAAACATTAGGAAGCTGCAAAACGAACAAACATACAGACAAATAAAACTCTCTGCAATTGGAGACGAGAAGCCTCGAGTTGGAAGCGAAAGCGCAATTTGGCGCGCGGGGTGAGTTGTTGAAACAACAGAAGAAAAATGCTAGTACAAGTGGAGGATATACTAATGAGATTTTCTTGAGAGAAATAAAAAATGAGAGTTTCTTGCTAACTCGAGATTGCGGCAGAAGTTTTTAAAATTCAAAAAAAATTTTTAAAAAAATTACCTGCAATCAGCTTGTTGCAATGGGCATCATACGCGTTGCAGACGATGTACTAAGTAAACGAGCGTATTTCTTTCGGCTACTGGATGCGGCTATAAATCTGAAATGGCTTGTTTGCGTGTGATAGAAAAAATCAAAAGAAAAAACATTGACGCGAGAGGAAAGTACAAGGACCAAGCAGAAAAATTCTGCAGAAGCAAGTTTGCAGGCGGAAAAAGTGCACAAACAGGTGTGAAACAAAAGTCGCCGGAAGCTGGAAATTGAAGACCATGGCAGATGGCCAAGAACCAGTCTGGACACAAGAGTACAAGATTGATGCTTATGAATAGAATGTTTAAACTTGGCTTCTTCCAAAATAGAACTTTAAAAGGAAAATTGTGAAATTGTTGTGACAGATGCAGAATTTGCAAACAGACAATTGAAAATAAAGGACTGGAAAACGATAAAGTTGGCTGTGCACGTATTAGGCTGATGCGTAATTTTTTGCACCAAAAACCACAAGAGATTTAATTTGAAAATGCTTTAACAAGTAATCAAGTCATGCAATATGTTCCCTATGTATATCGAATGTAGTATATTATGAAATATTTTTGAAAATTAATTTGAAGCAGAAGCAAACAGTTTGATAAAAAAAATTCAACCTCAACTATGCGTAGAGATACCGACTTCTCTTAGTTACTATGTAGAGTAGGCCATAAAAGCAAAACGATAAACTTAGATTGCAATGGAACTTTGCGAAATCCAAGATTTGGACGACCACTTAAGAGTATTTTCCTAGTCAGCCTGTTCGTTGGCATGAGCCAGTAAAAGTTTTTGATTTGAAGGCCCTTGAAAAGAAAAACGATCTATTCTTTTTTAGTATGCACCAAATCAAACGATTGCATTGATTGGGAAGGATGGTGGAGTTTCAAAATATTTAGTGCAAGATGCATCAGCTCAATACACTGTCAATCAAGTCAACAATGCAGTCATAACTTAACCATATATGACCCTGTCTATGCCAGAAAGCGTATTCACAGCACGTTCGCCTAAGATAGGCTGGGAGTAAGATTTTCTGCTAACTACCAGGTGATGGAGAATAATTCAAACGATAGTATCAGTTCTCGAAGAGTGTAGTGCGTGTAGCTCCGCCCCTTTGTCTAAATTCTAATTACGAATTTTAAGATAACAAGTAGCTTTCCATACTGTCATAGCAAAAGAAATTTGGAACGTTTTCATTCATAATGATTTCCTTGAAAAAGAAAACTTGGCTAAATGCAGCATTGTCGTCGCTTGGACTGGCTTATGATGGAAAATCATATCATTAAAGCAGATGTCGAAGGATAGAAGCTTGAAGACGAGGATTCCTAGCAACTGAGCAAATCATTCAAGGAACGATTCCGCTTCTGGCTCATTCAATTGTGAAGATGAACAGAAGAAGTCATGGTTATTTGTTGCGACTGAGTCCTAAGAGACCAGAGCTTATAACATTCACTCAGATTGTTTAGCATTTAGTACTATAAATTCTGTTATGGTGTTAAAATGGCTCTCCAACACTATCGAGATTTATCCTAAGCATTACATGATCTAGAGTCTACGTTTCATCATATTATAAGGAAGGATTTTTAAAAGGTGTTATTTACCTTTTAGAATTCCATATCAGCAGTTGAAGGTCTGCTTGGAACCTATCAAAAGCTGAAACATTCCAGAGATTAAAATCTATAACCACAGAACCCCCTCCCCCTCCCCAACCCATGCGCTCCCTGTCTACAAATATCGTAGGAGGCTGTAAAATAGTCGGATTACAGGCGATTTCAAAGAGCGAGTTGCTGAAATGAGGTGCGCGAAAGCGAGGTCGTATGGAAAACCATGCTTCGAAACTGGCAGTCGAAACCGGAACTGAAAAGCGCTGAAAAAGCGCAAGGACACTTTTTGTAAAGGCGGCATTGATTCAAAAACTTCACAGAAAATGTTATGCAGTTTTCATAGCTTGAGTACCTATCCTTATTGATTTTCTCATGGGAACTTGCTTGGTTTGTGGTAGCATGGAGACGCAGAAAAAGAACGAAGAGCTCTTCGGTTTTGAAACTATTCATAGCTTGATGTAACAGAGTCCGTGAACAAAAAATTATTTTTGTAACTTAGAATAACACGACGGGGGCATGAAATATTCAGAAAAGCTCACGAATCTTAGCTTCTTTCGGAACAGGACCGATAAGATGATATACTCCTGACAATCTGTGCAAGAATAGCTGACATCCACTCCTGGAATCCCCGGAAATGAGAAGAAACCAAACAGCACATTGCGACGTCTCGAGTGGTTAAACGAGTATTCTTGACGTAAGGTCATAGTTTATTGTTGGAGCGTGGCTTTTGGAATGTGACATTGCGTCAGCGAGCCAGCTAAAAAGTAGTAATGAGATGGGAGAGTGATTTACTTACAGATACTAGAGCTCTTTGGAAAGAAGGGCGAAAATAGTTCTGCAACAGCAGGGATCCAGGAATGTTGGTAAGGGATAAAACCTTATTGTGCAGGTTTTGTCGGCTTGAGATGGGACCGGCTACCTTAAAGTGCACAAAAAGCAGGATCTGCAGAACTGGCAAGCTTTCGCGAAATTCCTTTTTCTCATAGCGATAGTGGCCCCTTTGATTCGAAACAGCACTCGGGGAGGTATTTCTTGACCATAGTTGCTGCATTTCGCCAAGAAAAACGAAAGTTTTGATAAAAGGTGTTTGAAACATTCATGTAAGTTTCCGACAGAACTTTGTCTTTTCACAAATAGAATGGTCCGATGCTTCTCAAGTTCAACCTTTGCCCACAGAGGTACCTTACACTCACATTCAAAGAATATTCACTTTATCTTATTTATAGAAATAAGGGGTTTTCTTGAGAATGAGACAAGTTTTCATCGACCACTAATCATCGCATATAGCTTAATGATTTAAAATCCAGATGTTTTATGAAAAGGTGTTGGCAAAGATAATATAAAGGTTGCGAGTATTCAGATGTGAGAGAAGAAGAATTTATCTCTTTAGTGGACTCAACATTTCTCCACTAACTTCAAAAACAAAAAAATTTGGCTGGACGACGTCTGCTTTCTCAAGCAAAGGTCATTTAAGCTAGTCACTTCATGCAAACATTCCAGAATTCAGGCACAACATTGACTTAGAATTGACGTTTACTTTTATGTCAGTGGCATCTGTTTTCGTATGTTACAGGATAGTGGTCAGTAGTGAAAAATAAAATTACGAAAATCACAAATCAAGAACACTAAGTAACCAAATTCGCTTCAAACCTCCTCCAAAAATGACAATCAGAAATTCATCGAATTAAAATTGGATCAGAATAAGTTCAGTGGATTAACCTATAGTAAGGGAAGCAGTCTTTGATGCACCTTTTGGTTTGAAACTATTGGTGTAGTAGATAATAAAATTCATATGTGACATACAAAGTTACTTTGCAGGATGGCGAATGCTTTGAAAGAGTACATAAAGGTGGAACATAAAGCGACTTGCAACTGTGTAATGCGCTAGCTATACCTTGTTATGACGGTATGTATAGAGTAGAGGGTTGTCTCCATCAAACTTTACAGCATTGCCCTAACTAGTATGCTAGCGTGACAATGATACCAGTTTACTGTATGATGTATGGTAGTGCAACTGCGGTCTGCGTCGCGCACATAAACTGATCGCGGCGACCAAGTTTGATGGGCTCATCTGCCCGCCTCGCCTCGTCTGCTTTGTTATGAGAGACCAGAACCAGCGATGGATCGGGTTGCAATCACAATGCATCAAAAGAAACACTTCGCAACAGTGGACGAGATCGCCCTGGTCGCACTATGCTTGGACAAAAGTGCAGGCTATTTTTGGACATTTGATCTTGCTCAAGAAACCAGTTGCAAAGGAAGGTAAATAATTCTATTTTGAGCCTGAAATTGGAGTACATGAAATACATGTAGGGGTGCAAAAAGTTATATGTAAAAATTTGTTTTGTACCAACATCTTAAGATAATGTTGCTCAACCATTTGGAAAGAGGGTTAAAAAGCAAATTTCTAACTGCGCTCTTGAAGAAGATAGTATTAGGTTGTGTAATAAGTTCTGTCCCATTTATTCTTTTGATTTTTTCTCAATATTTTGCGCAATTCTCTGCAAATTGTTTATATGCATTTGAAGGTTCTAAGCCTTCTCTACTAAACATCATCAGATGAATTGAAAAAGTTTTACAGCGTCAAATTTGGAAAATCAAACAAGGAAAAAGTCCATTTCCGACAACTACGTTACGTCGCCCTCCTAATCAGTCAGAATGCCTAGGAATAAGCTCGAAGAATTTGCTACACTTAATCAAAGAATGCTTTAGCCTCCATTGCGCTTCAGAAGTGCTGAGACTTTTCAAAAATCATTTCTGTAGTTAAGAAAAGTCTTCTTTTTAACACCTTTTCAACGTTGGTGTTGGTCATCATTTGAGATTCTGAGGGAAGACGGTAGGCGGATCATCCAGAAAAGACAGGAGGGATGGTTTGTGGCTTCAAAATTATCGAATTCGTAGGTTAAATACTCAAAATTCGAATTTTGGGAACCACACAACTTTGGTACGCGAAACGGCGAACATCGCCGTACAAAAGTCTTGCCCTGCCGACTTTTGAAAAAAAGGCCTTCAAATAGGCGGTGGAAGGAAGAGAACATGCGCAAACAGTGATAGAATAAGTGTAAAAGTCTAATAGATTGTTTTGGTTGTTGTCAAGCTTGTTTAATAAGTTTTACCAATAAAAATCGAGAAAAATTTGGAGGAAAAAAGATGTCGAAAATTGATTTTTCGGCTCTTTGGATTTTTTGTTTTAATGATAAAAATCTTTTTCATTTTCCTGCTATGTTGGAGATTGATGCACATGAGCCTGCAAAGCAGACTTGGAGCTTTCAAAAGCATATACACTTTATCTCAAATATAGTCAATGTTGTCAAGAAAAAACTAAAACAAAAAATGGGGCAAAACTTATTACACGACCTAATAGATTTCTGTTGTACTTGTGCATCTACGAAGCCTATGGCCACTTAATAAAAAATGACAGAGTCTCTTTAGAATCAACCCTTTGCTTTTCAGAGCAACCCCCCCCCCCTCGAGAA